CTCCGGTGCCCACCGCGGGGCCGCTCCACGGGTGGGGCCGGGCGCTGCTGCCCCGGGGCCGGGGGGGGGCCTTTGTGCCGCGCGTCCTGGTGGAGCTCCGCTCCTCGCCTCGCGGGACCGGGAGGTGGCACCTGAGCAGAGGCCTGGGGGGTGGGCTGGGCCGGGGCGTGCACAGGCAGGGCGACGGGGTCTCTGGCTCCGCACTTCGGGGGCCCCTTGGGGTAGCCCCGTTAGCTGTGCAAACACGAGTCAACCGTGCCCAGACTTCAAACCGGCATCCCAGTGGGTGACCCACGCTTTGCCCTGCTGCGGGCTCTCCGAGGCCTCTCCTCCTGCGGTCCAAACAAGAGTGAAACTCCTTTTCTGGGGACTGCTTTGGGTGTGAAAGGGTTGAGAGGCACTGAGGTGTCGTTCCTCCTGCTCTCCGCCCCGCGCGTTTCCACTTTTTCTGATGTAAGGCATTACGTTTATAATGGTGTATAGATGCTTATGTGTTTGTGTGTTGAATGTGATTCGTGTGATAAACGCGGAGACCTTGAATAAGAAGCCACAATGTTATAAAAACAACTCCCTCCCCCCCCCCTTCCAAATCTTGACCTGGTGTGATCTTTCTGCGTTCATTGCAACAGAAGAATTGCTCTAGTGTTTTTCCCATAGTCAAAAATGGAGTGAAAACCAAGAGCTGGCATTTTCCAAAGGCCGCCTGGAGCCTGACAAAGGGTGCCTTGAGTCTAAAAAGGTTAAGGACCGCTGATTTGGAGCCAGGGAATACTGTTTGGAAAATCAGGGTTAGGAAACACTTCTTCTTTCTTTTATGAATAAATTGCTACCCATATTCGCTCGCTCCTAAGTTAACTTCTTGGCATCCAAAACTTTGCCCAAAACAAATGGTCTTTGGGTTATTTTTTTATCATCTCTTAAGAAGGTGACATCATCTTGCATTAAAGCCTTTCACAATAGTAGCAGATTCCGAAATAGAACTTTTGTATTAGATTTTAAAAAGTCATTCCCGTAGGAAAGAAAGTGGCAGCTAGAAAGTAGCGGTCTTGGTAAAGCCAAAGCAGTTGTGTTCCCTGATAAGGTGATCGTGTTCCTAACAAGGCCTGGCCAAAGAATATTGAATATTGGGAAACACCCCAGAGGCTGAAAGTCTGGTGCTGATTGTTTCTCGACTTGTTCTTGAGCCAGCCACATTTGGCCCAGTGGAAGTACAAAATGAAGGATGAGAATTGCGGAATTGTTGATAGGTTGGGGTATAATTTCTGACTCTGGCTGTCCCTGTTTTTACTTGTTTTCAAGTTGAATTTGCACCATGCTATACATACTGTACCCACTTACATAGGCAACTCGGACCAGTGCATGGGCTCGCTACATTGACTTCTTTCAATCTGCCTTCCTTTGTTTGCAGCCTCTCTTATTTTTGTCTTCCAGATGACAAAACCTATGCTGTTCATTGGAACGTGGGATGCACTCCTCACTGCCACTGAACCTTTCTTTCTTCTGTTACTCCCACCCTCCAAAGCTGTCTGTTCTTCTCTTTCTGCCCTTGCCTCTCTTTTTCCAGGACAGCAAGAGTGCAGAGTTAAATCAAGAGAGCCCTCATTTACTGATGGAAGCCATATCAAAATAGTCTTCATCCCCTGTGTATTTGTGAAATCTCAGGAAAAGGGGTCATAGGAATTGTGATTTATGTTGGACAGCAGGAGCTGGTGCATTACAAATACTTGCATTCTCTCTCAAATTTAAACTCTGTGCTATTAAATGAAAAGTTACCCGGGTTGTGCACTTGGTGCTTTCTTCTTTTCCCCCTTCCGTTGTTTTTTTTTTTTTTTTAAACAAGTGAGCACCATGCATTAAACTGAATGTGAGAGTTAAGAACCATACCAGTTTCTTCTGAGATACCTTAGTTGCTTCTCTAGTCAATCCTTCATTCTTGTAACCTGTATTCTTATTTTGGGTGTGTGTATCTCACCTTATCTGTCTGCCTGGAGAGTTAAAGTATACTCTGTAAAATGGCCTCTTTAATTGCTGTACCAGTCTTAATCTGAAATAAGTACTTGCAACTTCACTTAGAGTGGGCAGTGTGGCAAAGGACTAGCACAAGCCAATTCCTACGCAAGACAGACTTTCTCACTGTACTGAGTTTATTTTTTCTTTTGAATTATTTTCACGATTCAGTTTGTTTGTCAAAGGTGTTTGTCAGTTCCACTTCCTTAATTAGGTTGTTTACCTGTGCTGCTATGTGTTTTTTGTTGTGCAAGTTATTACCAACAATACACTGCACTGATAAGAGTAGTACATAGCTAAAGCTTTCTGAGCAGTTTAAATTGTGTGATACATGTTCCTGATTTTGTTTTCCTTTCCTTAGCTGACATCAGCTATATAATAATCTAAATAGAAATATGTATGTGTATATGTAGCCTGGATACCTGAACTTCAGTGACATTTTGCCAACAATTAAGAATGTTACATAGCAAAAGCTTGTTCTCCTAGGCAAGTATTGCTAATTAGTGTGGTTACCTAAAAACCTAATTCTTTTAAGTACTGAAGATCAAAATAAAGGTGGTGTCTTTGGGCTTGTTAGATTTAAATAAATCTCTACAAAGACTGTCTTTTCATCTTGTACCTTGTGAAAAAGGTTGTTTGCTTGGTAGGAAACTTGCTAGTTCAGGGTATCAGCAGAATGGTTCTTGGAAACATTGCACTATCTTTCTTTCTAAGAACCTTGTGTTTTTACATTTGTAACAGAGTTTTCCCCTATACTACACAAGCACCTTGAGCAGTGATGTACCTCCAGGAAATATTTACTCATAGGTTTTGTATCTTTTGTTTAAAAAATTGAAGACATTTATTGAAGATTGCTAGTGTATCATTAGGGTTGCATAGTTAGATTTTGAATTCCTAAAGTAATTTTAAGCTTTTGACAGAACTAGCCTTTTGCTGTATAGTACATTTTGACTATATGGTGGCATATATTTAAAACATAATATTTTAAGGTGTGTATTTAAGAAAAGTAAGAATAAAGTCCAGTACATTTATAACATTGCCAAGTAAATGTTGCAGTTATCTTTAACAGGAATGGAAGCATTATATCTTAATATTGCTATTTGAAATGTATACCACAAAATATAGGCTATGCTAGCAATGTGGCTGAGTTAACGTGAAGGTTTGCATTTTCCAGCCTGAGGTCAAAATTAAGTGTTTCATAATAACTGTGCAACTGTAACAGCATTACCATCGGCTCTTTCTTTTACCATTAAGAGCTCTATCGTTCGGCAAAGAAGCCAAGGATTGAAAGGGCTTGGAGACCCTCCCAAATGCTAGAATGTAGTCTTTATAGTCCGGAGTTCATTGAAGTATGTTTGGTGGGAATGGTTGCATAGCTACTGCCTGTGCTTTCTCTGCATGTCAGTGCAGAGCAGAACATGGCAACAGCAAATATTAATCTGGCCTTTGGCACCAAAGGTAACACTTGAAACATCTTTCTTTAGGCATAATGAAAGCTGCCTAAGGCATTTGCAGTGAAGAAAGTTTCTATCTCTAATAAATATTAAAATCTTACCCCTCCGCTTCTCTCTCCCACTAACTTCAGTATGTTTGACAGGTAGTTTAGTTAACTTGATGAGGGGAACTAAAGTGGATTCTCATTGGGCCCCTGGCACCTTTCATCAACTTTGATGTCTCTTGATTATTCCTTGCAGAAGAAGAAAAGACTGCACCAGTGTAAAGATTTGCCATAGTTTCTCCTTCCCTGATCAACAGATACTGTAAATATCTGTTCCCATTCTTCCAGGCTGCTGATTGAGGAAATATCAGTGCTACTATCTGCCTCTAGTTTTGTGAGGCTTTGTGGAAAGGAAATGGAAGATTGATTGCAAGTGAGACACAGCACACAAGCATGTTTTATTGCTTCACTGCAATTATATTCCACTGTTTGCTAAATGAGAAAATAATATTGCCATCTGGTCTGTTTGCATGCCCAGTGGTTCCATGGCTGTATCTCCCATGGTGGGTCTGGCTGGTCAAATCCCAAGGGCAGCTTGTTTCCATGTCTGCCTTGCTGCTTCTTGGAGGGGAGGATCTTCTTAATTTCATGCACTTCGAGGTGGTTTCTGTTCTGTAACCAAAGGAACTGAATTTAAAAGGTGTGGGTTAACTGATATTTATCAGATCTCTTGGCTTACAAATATTGGAGCTGCATTGTTGTGGGAACTGGGCCTCAATGGGTTTTGAATCTAATGGATATGGTCATAGACATTATGCCGGTTCCTTGGCTCCTCTGCCATCAGATGAACCTGGAGAGTGTTAAACCGGGCCTGTTAGTTGGTGTCTCTGATTCCAGGGTTCCTCTAGTTAGAAGAAGGCAACTATTCATGAAAAGAGAAACGTATCTCGATGGCGTGTCATATTTGGGGTTGTTGACTCTAGGTCCCTCCCCCCCCCCCCCCCCCCCCCCCCCCAAAAACCAGGCAAACCCCCCCCCCCCCCCCCCCCCCCCTTGGGCTGGCTACACCTACAGAGAACCTCCCATTTTATACACTCCTGGCTTAAATCTATGCTCCAAATTGTATTGCAAGTGCATGACTAGCATGCGCATACATTTTTGTTTTGCACATGTTGTTTCTGGATAGGTTATTTATTTATTTATTTATTTATTTTTTCAAATACATTTCTATTCCAGCAAGGGGCCTAAGCGAAGAAGCACTTAGGCTAGCAAAGAATAAATGCTTTTGCTGGTTCAGCTCATTCAGGGAACCAGTGTAAACCATGCTGCCAGTAACACCCTTTTTTTACCATGACAATCTTCAGCTCTGCTGGGAGGGTTTGCAGCACTGCTCTATGGGCAGATCTGCTGGAAACCGGGGTCTTTTGGTTGGGAGATAAGAGGCTGCACTATAGACCCCCTCAGCCTGCCTGTCCTGCCCCCTTTGCAAAGCGAGAGTGGGTTTGAAAAACAAGAGCCCGTGCCTCTCTCTTTTGACTCAGTAGGTGGCTCTGCTGCCATGCCAGGGAGGGCAGAGCAAGCCGGGGAGCAACTTAACAGGCAGAGGCGAAAGAAGCAGGTGGCTGGTGGAGGGACTGGGGGATTGAGAGCAGGTCTTGGGGGTGGGGGGGTTGTTTTGGCCGAAGGGAGAGAAGCTGCTGCCCTGCATCACAGTGAAGATTGCAGCTGGGCAGGGGGTGATCCCAGGGCCCAGAGCAGAAAGAGGAAGCTGGGGCCGGGCCAGGAGGAGGGAGGCACTGGGCGCGGCCCCCACCGCACCCCCTAATGGGCTGTCTCCTCCCTTCCCTTCCCTAGGGCTGATCGTCCCTCGCTGTCCCCCGTATGTGAGAGCAGGAGTCGGAGCCGGAGCAGCTGCCGCCGCCGGGCCAAGCCGGGAGCCCCCAGAGGAGGAACGGAGCTTCCTTCCCTGCGAGCGCCGAGCTGCCCAGCATGGAAGCCATCGCCAAGTACGACTTCAAAGCCACAGCGGATGACGAGCTCAGCTTCAAACGCGGGGATATCCTCAAGGTAAGTGCTGGGCTGCCGGGATCTCCCTGCTGCTCTCTCTCTCTCTCTCTCCTATTGCAGGAGGCCCGGCTCTGGCTCCTTGCTGGCTCAGAGCATCTTCTCGGTGTTAGGACATCGCTGGGAGCAGGCATGAAGATGTGAAGGGGGGGTTTATGAATGGGATTCCTTTATTCGAGAGAAACCATTTAAGTCATCAAGACCAATTTAACATGCATTTCCTCCTCCTCCTCCTGCCAAAGCATCTTGCATCAAAGAACAGCGATTAGATTATTCCTTGGGAGATAGTCTTCTTGCATTAGGCTTTCAGATACAGTATTGCTGCTGAGTTCTGTCTTCAGGCTTCATGACTGTAAGCCTGTAACGCTGAATATTTAATGGACCTGTGGAGAGGGCTGCGATTGCTTGGGGTGCATTAGAGGAATGTTGGCCTGGAGAGATCTCGATATATCAAGGGCTTTTGTGTCAGCAGCATAAAGGAATGTGTTTATTGAAAAACATTTGTATGCCTAAAAGTGTGGGGGGGGGAAAAAATCCAGAAAGAGGTGATCATGTATCAAACAAAGCTAGATATTTATTTTGTAATGGGTTTAGAGTCTGTGTTTTTAATTTTTCAGTGAACATAATAAAATAGGCTTTTGAAGTATACTTTTTCTGAATAATTAAAAAGAGCTAGGTCATGTCACGTGCATCTCTCTCTCATATCTATATCAATATATAGATATATCAATATCTATCTAGCTATTTATAGATGCACACAATGTTTTTCTGTTGTCAAATATTTTATGTTTGCTACCTCTATTAAACAGTAACATGTATCCTATTTCTGACAGTGTGAAGAAGTTGAGTTGAAGCAGTTAAATCCGTCTTTTTTTGACACCCCAATTTTTTTACTCTCCAGAATTACCTTGATACAGAAAATTTTGAACTAAAACATACTCTCACTAAGCTCCCTGCCCCACAAAGACTTAAGCCTCTAAGTAATTGTGTGCCTGGGAATCATCTTCATGATGCTGAGTAGCACTGCCTGTATGAATAAAATCATATATGTGCTTAAATTTTTGCATGATGGGGGCATATTATGGAAATGCATTCAAGAAGTGGTGAAGGGTAGTGTCACATACAGACAAACTTTGGGGGATTCTTAAGTAACTGGTATTTACATAACGACCATCTCATCACGGTGGCTGAATAACTTGAATGCTTTTCTATTTTCATCATAAGCCCTGATATTTTTGCTGTTACTAGTTAGTGGTATGAGCTGAAATTTAGTATATGGTATTTCCAGTCTCTTGCCTATTTCCAGTGGGGAGGATGAGAGGAAGGGATGACTGATTTTAATTCAAAGTATGATTTCTACTAACACATCCCATTTTGACTTTGTTGCCTTGCAGTCAGGTAAATGGATGACTTGGACATTTTAACATAAGTAAATCTGTTCCTTTCCTCTTGCAACATGTCTCTTCCTCGCAGTTGGGATTAAAATATACACTAAAAATGACATGCCTTAATGATATTTACACAAGCTACTGGAATAGTTTCACCTGATATTTTTACACCTAAGTTTAAGACCGTGTCAACTTTAACTTTCTTAGATGCAAGTGTAAATTATCCGATTTTTACATGCATACGGTGTCCATAATTTTGACCTTTTACTAACCTGAGTTTTTTAGTTTGTACAGGTAACTTACCTCAGCTTCGTGAGTTGTATTTGAACTAGAATACCTCAATGGTCCTCTTGCAGAAAGTACTGAACAGGAAGGACTACTGGTCTCTGTACATTTACAGTACTTAAATATCTTTAGTTTGAAATGTACATTTGGTTATTTTAGCCTGGCTCAATCTAGGTGTTTTTGTAAGTGGCTTGAAGGATGGCTGGTGTAGAGAGTTGAAATTTATTTGGAAAAGTGTTTATCCTTGTAAGAAAGCACCACTGGGAAGAGATTGAACAGGAGTTTTTAGGGTTGGGTTTTATTTTGCTTAGGGTTATGCGGGCGCTAAAAACCCTAGCATCTGTATTGCAACTACCAGCAATGATACAGCTTCACTGAGGAAAAGTGCTGGTGTAGACAAGGCTCAAGGACTTGTATATCTTTGCACAATGACACAATGGTGTCTTACATGTGTTGCTACTATGTGTTGTGCTTTTGGTGGAGTTTGGCTACTGTATCTTCTAGTATAGGAAAGGCTTTAGTTGACAATCCTTGCAGTTTTCAGTCTGTAGGATGAAGCTATGTGACCAGGAACAGTGTGGCCTTGATCATTCAGGTGTAGAAGAAATTGTGAACTTTTGAGCAAAGAAATCTTGCTGTATCTTTGTCCTAAGAAATGTATTTTTTCACAGTTTAATTTTTATTACATAAAGAGAAACGAACAATACTTTTTTTACTATTTCCTTTTATCTGAGGTTTTGAAATTAAGAGTTGAATTGATTAACAGTGGTGGGGGACTATATTTATTTCACAGATGAGAAAATTGGAGTGCAGAGACATTGATTATGTTTATACTGCTACTTGGGGCTACGTAAAGGAAGTCCACAAAGCCCCTACCAGCTGACTCTACACTGAATCACTAATTTTGACCCCTAGTGACCGTCTAGTTTGGCCTCAGAAGCTTTTCTGGACTTTGGGGTCTGAATTGAAGTGCCTGCCACCTGGTTTGAAGCTCCTTGCAGCATATCTGAGATTAGCCTGGGTGCTATAGGCCACAAGCACGAGAAGTCCAACAGCCGTCCCACAATTTCCTGTTCCTGGCTGCTGGCCCTTCTGCACCCCACTTCCTGTCCCTCCTTCCTGCAAATGGAGACAAGCACAAAGAGAGGCTGATTCCTAAAAAGGCTGTATTCAAGGAACAGGAAATGCAATGTGGACTGCTCTGACACAGGTCACAATATAAGATAGCAACAGGTAGGGGTTGCTCATGCGACTTAAACTGGCTGTTGGTGACCCTTAGGGATGACCCTAAATATCTACTGCAGCTTGCTTAAAGTCACAGCTAAAACTAATGGCAAATGAAGGGGCAGGACATAGGAGTCATGTCTCCTACTCCACAGTTTTGACAGTAAAAACTTCCAAGAGCCACAAAGAAAACAATTCTTAGTTACCAGGAGCTGTGACAGATGATATAGTTCATTTTATTCAGAACAGGAAGCATTTGTGGCACATCTGGAGTGAGCTAGATTTTGAAAATGGTGAACACATTTGGGTTGTGGAAGTTAAGTTATGATGAGCACAGTCACTCTACTTGGTTAGCACTTCCCTCTTGCTTAAGAAATCTCTTGGAATCCCACCTGCTTGTGATGGGTCTCACAGGGATCTCTCCTATAAACCAAATCAATACTAGGTGCATATAAATGGGCAAACTGCTAAGTGGAATGAACCAGAATACTTGATACAAACATGCACTCCCAGGATCAGGTATTCTTTGGATGTCTGTGCTGAACAACATTGGGTATTATCTATTCTTAACAACCCTGTTTTACTGCACTTTCCATGTCTAGCTATATTTAATCCCTGTCTTTAAGCAATGGTGGGCATATAACTTTTTGTTATGGCATGCATGAGTTCAGGTTTTTTTTGTTTGCTTGTTTTAATGTACAGAGAGCTCTTAGAAATCTTTGTACCATCTTAAGGCACAGAACTACCTTTAAAACATTTAATTACCACAACTTATCTTCTCTGTGGGGAGCACAGGGATAGATGCATGCTGTCTGACTCCATCTGATTTCAGCAGATAACTTGCCTATGATGTCATGGTGCCATTACTGCGGCATACCCACATATTCCAATCCTGACTGAATAGCATTTGAAATGTAGCCATTAAGCTGCTTGTTAGTAATCTTGTGGCTGTACTCCAAAAGTGAGTGAAGATAGCTGACCCTTGACTCACAACTCTGCAGAACAGCTGAGTGAAGAGGAAGAGTGCTTGGCCTTTTTTGTGAGCACTGAAATAAAAGCTGCTTCTACGATTGTGCAACCCTGGCAGAACACTGGATTCTCAAGTCTTTTGTCTAGTAGTTCTGCAACAGTGTATAGCATGACTGTGCAAAAGATGAAAGTAGTTATCTCCTCTTATATCTGAATCAACTCAGTCTCTTTTTGCAGTATCCTTCCTCAGAGGGAAAGGATGCTGTTTTCACTCTGCATCCATTCATTGTTGATTGCTATCTATTTCTGCATGATATTGCTTGTGACTGTGTGTAAGACCACCTTTCTGTTTGTATGCTTGATCTTGCATATGTTGGGAGGGAAAAAGTGTTAGTAAAGAGTGCCTTTAGAAGAAGAAGAGAACTAGATGATTTGCATCCTCCAAAAAGAGCCTGCATTCAGATGAAGGTGCCACCGACCTCCAAAAGCATTAATCTGGCTCTTTCACACTTAGAGTGTTAGGTACTTGTCATGATGCATTCAGATTTTGGTTCCCCCCCTCCCCTCACTGTCTGGTGGTGTTGGAATGACTTGCTTTCAATCTGTGCTTGTGCTCATTATGGGTCTAGATCTTATGTTCCTGAGAAACTAATGTATTTCTGGCAGCTCCTGGTTTTGTTGGTCTGTGTGCCAGCTGGCAAGTGTCCAGACATGAAGTGTGCTGATACTTGCTTTTGGTTTACTGGGAGGGAGGGAAGAAGGAAAATCATGTAAAGGGTCCATTGGCCAAACTTAGGTTTTACCTTTCTTTTCCCTACCTTCTCTACCTATTTGGAATGTACAGATACTTCAGAGCTCACTGTTCTGTACAAATGGGGAACCAATTCTTCAATATATGGAAAAGGCATGTGGAATAAATCTCTGCAAAATAATGCAAAAGAATGGTTCATATTGATCCATT